TCTTAGAGAACATTCCTTTAAATGCCTTCCTTTAAATATAGTTGCTTACTGTAAACATAAATATCAAGGAGATAAGATTTTAAAGGCAGCTTCAAAATTATTTGTTTAGCATGAAGAAGACCTTCTCATGGTTAAAGATAATAATCTAAACTAAAGATGTTTTCCTTGGTATAGCATATTGATAACATTTCTCATATCTTTCTTTTCTACCTAATGTAGTATGAAAGAAGATTTGCTTTTGAAGAAATGTTTTCAATTATTGTTTTTAGTCTACTTATTCAAATATTGCACGCGTTTATTTCTATGTGAGCATATTTATACTGAAGTTAACGTTGTTTTACTTTTCCTCTCTGAAAAGCAAATTTTGAATTATTCTTTCCTCAAATCACTCAGACTTGTGTTATACTGTTCACTATTCCATTGCATGTATGTGTCATGACTTACTTTCCCAAGGAATGTTTAGATTTTTAAAACAATTTTATGGTTTGGCAGTCAATAAACCTTTCCAAATTGAAGGTTTAAGGTTTTGATATTTTGAGGTTTACTATTATATTTGTAGTTGATTTTTCTTGATCCAGAACAATTGATCTTCTGAGAATTTTCGTTTTTGTTTTTATAAGTAATCTACTTCCTCTATTTAGTATATCAATTATTAAAATATAATTTACCTGATTTTAAATTTTATACATTTTATTCTAAAGTCCAGATTTTTATAATTTATTTTATAATTAATTGATAGGAGTTTCTATATTCTTGTAACTACTAAGATATTTTCTATTTATTTATATTAAAATGTTTTATGCTAGAAAACCTTATAAAGTTGGTAGAATAATTATCTCTTTCTTATAGATGAGAATGCAGAGGCACAAAAAGGTTAAGTACCTAATCCAAGATCACTAAGTTAGTAAACAGTAGAGGTTATGTTCTTAAACATTAATGCATAATGCTTCTAATCATATATATATATTTTTTTGCTCTGGCTTTTGGGGAAATTCTTGGGAACAGCCTATTTTACTATTTTTATTGTAACAGAATCTTTTTCTTAAATAGCTTTACTGAGGGATAATAGACATTAAATAGTTTCACATATTTAATATGCACAGTTTAGTGAGTTTAGATAAATGCAAATGCCATGATACCACCACCACAGTCAAGGTAAAAAGCAGACACATTCAACACCTCCTAAAGTTAATTTATGCTCCTTTTTATTTATTGTTATTCAATTTGTGGGTGTGTTGGTTTCGGTTTTACTTTTGGTAAGAACACTTAACATGAGATCCACTCAACAATTTAGAAGTGCACAAAACCATCTTATTACCTATAGGTACTAGGTTGTGCTGCAGACCTCTAGAACATATTCATCTAACATAACTAACACTTTATACCCATAGATCACAACTGCCTAAAACAATTCTTTATTTACTTCAGTCCCGGCCTTTGACTACCACTATTATATTCCCTGCTTGTATAAGTTTCACTGTTTAAAATACCTTACATAAATGAGATCATGCAGTTTACCCTTCTGTAATTGCCTTATTTCATTTAGCATAGTGTCCTCCAGGTTCTTCCACATTCTCACATATTTTAGGATTCCTTCTTTTTTAAAAGAGTGATTAATATTCCATTGTATGGCTATAACACCTTATCCATTCATCTACTGATGGCATTTGGCTTGTTATCATATCGTATCTTGGTAACTGAGAGTAATGTTGCAATGAATATGGGAGTGCAGATGACTCTTCAAGATCCTGAGTTCAATATTTTTAGAAGTACACCCAACAGTGGGATTGTTGTATCATATGGTTGTTTTATTTTCATTTTTCTGATAAACCTCCATATTCTTTTCCATAGCTGTTGTGTCACCTTCTGTCTTATTTTTCCATTGGAGATAGTTATAGAAAATAGTCACTAAACCCCTTGGAAGTCCAGGCAGTTTACATAGCTTCAGGAAAAAATGGGCCAAGGCAGCAAGTTATTTTATTTTAAAACTTAAAGCATAGGGCAGTTAGCAAGGGAAAGCAAAGGAGTTTATCTAAATGGCTTGTTGTTCTAAGACCAACATTTGCACAACCACACTTGACTGCCTCCTACTTGAGGGGTTGGCAGAAGCGTATTGCCCACAAATGGTGTTGGGTTTAGGCCTTGGAACCTGGCCTTTAATCTTCACCCTCTAGTTGTGTTGACCAGAAGCCTTTGTTATTTAATGTGTGCTGAATAAAGGTTGAGAAGGCCAGTGTGTCAGGGCCAGTGTCCATTAACTCCTTCAGGTGAATAGCCTGGACACTCCAGTCCACTCTTTCACTTTATTGTGCGTTTGAGTGAATTTATTCATTCATAGTGGGGTTGTGGTCTGTCAGTCAGACCCCAACAGCTGGTGCCCAACGTGAGGCAGCCCTGATAGTGGTGTCCCATATAGGAGACTTGTCAGTGGTGCCTCCCTCTGAGGTTTGCTGTAATGAATCTTGATGGAACCTCTGAAAATGAGGAAAATGTGACTGTTTAGTCAGTCACTGGAGTCTGCTTGGAAGATCCAAGTTCAGAAGCATTGTTCAGGCTAGGGTTCCATCATGGGACAACAGTTAACAACTCAACAGTTAAGACTATTGAAACAGCTGCTTAAATAGTTGAAACAGTGGAGCCTTGGTTTAGCAGGTTCAATTAAAGGACCTAATGCATACTGTTGTTTCCCAAAGCCCATGCTTCCCAGCAGAAAGTGCTCTAGACATAAAGCTCCAGGAACAAGTTGGGAGAAATCTTAAACAGCATCAGGCAAAAGGGCAATAGGTCCCAGTAACGTTATCACCAGGTCAAAAAAAAAAATAGAGGTTTTGCCAGAGCATCCCCCTTCCAATAAATAGGAAAAGGACAAAGGAGGCACTGCAACTATAGGACATTGTCTTAAGAAAGCAACATTAAAAGGGGAGCTCTTAGCCTGCTCAGTAACACAAGATCAACAAGGCGATCAGGTGTATGCTTATAAAAAGATGAGAAAGAAAGGTGTTAGAGGCTGAAATTGCATGACCAAGCAAGTAGTAGGCAGAAGAAAAGGCTCAGCCACAGAGATGCTCATGTTACCCGGGGCTGATAAAAACCCCCTGGGCCAGCAGCAGCTGCCTAGCTGTGGGCAGAGGGAGTAGCACAAACAAAAAGCCATGCCTAAGAAAGCGCAGTGCAGCCACCACTTTGGGACCCATGCTGTTGCCTCTGGCTCTGCAGGTGGCCCATGATAAAATTCCATATTTTTCTTGTATAAAAGCAACATCCCAATTATAATTCTCACCTAAGATTTAAGTGAAATTTAAGAATGTGTAAGACCTTTTTCTGATAATGGCCACTATTGTTACTCCAACCCTACCCCAGATATAGCTCTCTCAAAATCCAGTTTATATAAAACAGTAACCTCTGTCTAATGACCAGTGATGATGAGCATTTTTTCATATGTTTGTCGGCCTCATATATGCCTTCTTTTGTAAAGTGTCTGTTCATATCCTTTGACCATTTTTGAATGGGCTTGTTTGTTTTTTTCCTGTAAATCTGTTTGAGTTCTTGGTAAATTCTGGATATCAGCCCTTTGTCTGATGGGTAAACTGCAAAAATTTTTTCCCATTCTGTTGGTTGCCGATTCACTCTAGTGACTGTTTCTTTAGCTGTGCAGAAGCTGTGGAGTTTGATTAAGTCCCATTTGTCTATTTTGGCTTTTTTTGCCAATGCTTTTGGTGTTTTGGTCATGAAGTCCTTGCCTGCTCCTATGTCCTGAATGGTTTTGCCTAGATGCAAATCAAAACCACATTGAGATACCATCTCACACCAGTTAGAAAGGTGATCATTAAAAAATCTGGAGACAACAGATGCTGGAGAGGATGTGGACAAATAGGAACACTTTTACACTGTTGGTGGGATTGTAAATTAGTTCAACCATTGTGGAAGACAGTGTGGCAATTCCTCAAGGCCTTAGAAATAGAAATCCCATTTGACCCAGCAATCCCATTACTGGGTATATATCCAAAGGACTATAAATCGTTCTACTATAAAGACACATGCACACGAATGTTCATTGCAGCACTGTTTACAATAGCGAAGATCTGGAACCAACCCAAATGCCCATCGATGATAGACTGATTTGGAAAAATGTGGCACATATACACCATGGAATATTATGCAGCAATCAAAAAAGATGAGTTCGTGTCGTTTTTAGGGACATGGATGAATCTGGATACCATCATTCTCAACAAACTGACACAAGAACAGAAAATGAAATACTGCATATTCTCACTCATAGGTGGGTGATGAAAAATGGGAACACATGGACACAGGGAAGGGAGTACTACACACTGGGGTCTATTGGGGGGAATAGGGGAGGGACAGCATGGAAGGGATAGCCTGGGGAGAAATGTCAAATGTGAGTGAAGGGGAGGGAGGTAGCAAAACACACTACCATGTGTGTACCGATGCAACTCTCTTGCATGTTCTGCACATGTACCCCAAAACCTAAAATGCATTTAAAAAAAATAATTCAGAATCTCTTATAGACTATTCCAGCATGTTCTTAATTTCTGTATGATGGGGAAGGTGGGTACCAGGCCATCTTCATCAACAGGGTCCTGGATAGCTCAGAGGAAGAGGATTCATATTATATTAAGCCAGAAAGCATCTTTCAGAAAGGCTGCTATTATTAATTTTTGGAAGAGTTCTACAAAAAATACATAATATAGTTCTTAATAATGAGCTCATCTGTAGTAGTTAAAGAATGTATTAGCATGGATAACTTTTTAAAAAATAATGTTAAGTGAAATACCTGGGACCACAAGCCCAGAACACCATGCTTGGCTGATTTTTGCATTTTTTACAGAAATGGGGTTTCACCATGATGGCCAGGCTGGTCTCAAACTCCTGGCTTTAAGTGATCCACCTGCCTCAGACGCCTAAATTGCTGGTATTACAGGCATGCATCACCATGGTCTCCCACATTGTTAATGTTATCATTTCTTGTTATACTATTTATGTTTGAAAGGTTTCTTAATAAAAATATTCGTACAGTGACTAAAACAGTTTCCATTGACTCTTTCTTTAATTTTTTTGCCCCTCCTGAAGTTCCCGAGAGTGGAGATCTGGATGATGATGCTGAAGCTATCCTTGCTGCAGACTTCGAAATTGGTCACTTTTTATGTGAGCGTATAATCCTAGGATCAGTGTTATACTTTACTGGAGAAGCTATCGAAGATGATGATGATGATTATGATGAAGAAGGTGAAGAAGCGGATGAGGAAGGGGAAGAAGAAGGAGATGAGGAAAATGATTCAGACTATGACCCAAAGAAGGATCAAAACCCAGCAGAGTGCAAGCAGCAGTGAAGCAGGATGTATGTGGCCTTGAGGATAACCTGCACTGGTCTACTTTCTACTACCCTGGAAAGGATGATTTTACATCATTTGACAAGCCTATTTTCAAGTTATTTGTTGTTTGTTTGCTTGTTTTTACAGCCTAAAATAAAAATTTCAAATACAAAAAAATATATATATATTTAAAAGTAAAGGCATTATGAACACAATAACATGAGCATCCAATATGTACTTCTGTTTAATTTCAATATTTCTTTTGAAATGGGAAAATAAACTTTCTGATCAAGCATCAAAGAATTATGTTAAATTCCAAGATAAAGACGTTTACATTGTTTTTTAAAATATAGACTTGTTAAGCAAAATGGAATTTACCTTCTCACATTTTACTAATATTTAATCAATTATAATTATCAGCTGATGTATTCTAAGTAAATGTAGTTTTTATTTTGAAAAGTAATGCCATTATCAATTTTATAGAGTATCGTTAGAAGAAAGTATTTTCCAAGTCCATTAAAAATAATTTATTACTAGGGCAGTAAAAAACATATAAGTTTGCCTCTTCTTTCTGGGCATTTTCTTCATTTCATTATTTCTTACTCTTTTTTTTTTAATTTTAAATGTACTTGAAAGAGTGGATACTGAATATCCAGTGTAAAACTTTAGAATAAAAAGAATGGTATAATCCAAAAAGAAAAAAAAAACCAGTAACCTTTGAAGGAAGAGAAATTATAGAAGGCCTATGAATTAGTTGAAAAGCAATTAAAAGCTGGGCCCTGAAAATGGGAAGAATTTTGATAGCTGATAACATTCAGGCAGATATCAAGAAGTCTTAAAACCAAATTAATTTGAGCGTAAAGTTTACATCATTGGAAAGACAAAGTTGTTTCGTGGCTTTGAATGCCATAATGAAAAGTCCAGTCATTTTTACAGATAACAAATTTCAATCACTTCATTGGTAATTATTTTTTAGCCATCCATTTGATGTCTCAAAAGTACTTTTATAAAAAATGTTTGGTATTTTTATGATATGTTTCTCTCTGAAATTGATATATGCATTTGTGTGTCTATTATCTTTCTTTGAAGCATTAATTAAACTTATAAGCTACATCAAATCATTCAAACTATTTGCTAGATGACTTAAAAGGTCACCTCCACTTTTTGTCATTTTTTAATACAGAGAATTTTAAGAAGGAAGAAACAGCTACTTATTTCCACTGAAAGCTGCCTATTAGTCTCCCTTCATGAGTGTTGTCTGACCTGCTTAGCAAATAATTTGATGAGGCACAGTAATGAAAGACCTGAAAGTTACATTTGTTTTGCATGAAGAAATCAAGCAGATCTTCAAGTGATGACATCACTGCTAGATCAAGCCTTTCAGTTGCATTAATTTTTCCACTAAAATTAGAGAAACTTAACAACTTCAACTTACCCAAAGACTGGCTAAACAAATTATCCTTCAATGCTGAGATTGTCAGCTCACAGGTATGTCCCCTCCTTCAACACGTGTTAACCCCAAAGGACTAAAACCTAATCAGTTATGGTAAACAGATGTTACACACATCCCTGAATTTGGAAAACTAAGTTCTGTATATGTATCTGTTAATATCAATTCACATTTAATTAGTGCTAATGCTTTTCCTGCAGAATCCATCCAGTATGTCATTAAACATCTTTTTGTAACTTTTGCATTTATGGGGCAGCCCACAAAAGTTAAAACTGATTGATAGACACAGAAAGTGGGGCTGAGAAAACAGATAATGTAACAAGAAACAGAAAAGGGGGACTATGAGTCAGGATCTCACAAGACTACTAGCACAAGCCTTATTTACCCTTAATTTTTTAAATTTAGATGATAAATTTTAATCAGCTGTAGAAAAGCACTTTGCTAAAACCTCTCAAGACAGAAACAGAAAGATTCAAGAGAGAAATAGGGTCTCTTACTAGAAGAGACAGAGATCAGAGAGAGACACAAAAAGTAGGAAAGAGGAGGGAGACAAAGTAGGAAGAAGGAAAAAAATGTTAAGAATGTTATAGCTATAAGAATGCACCTTTGGTAAGGAAGGTTATAAAACAAAGTCAGTAAGTTAAGACATGTTGAAGATTGTCTGTGAAAGTCATGAAAAATGTTATAGGAAGGAATTTATGGAGGAAATGTATAATTTTTGCTTTGAGATTGCAGCTCCCAGCGAAAGCATAGAGGGTGAGTGGATGCCACATTTCCAGACAGATCTTTATTGCCCACAGACCAGGAGATTCCCAGGTGGAGGAGGCCCACAGGTCACCAGTGTGGCTGTTTAGGCCAGCATGGCTGCTTTGCTGGCGCCCTGGCACGGTGGCTCTCCATACAAAATACACTGGTCTGGTTGCTCTTTAGAGCTGGCAACTAGACCTCAGAGAAGGCAGATTTGCCCATTCATCTGATTAAACAGTTCTGAAACAGGGAGCTAGGCCAGGACACTCTTGGGCAGCGCCATTGTTTCAGCCAGTGCAGTGGGTTGCCACATGGGAAATCACACAGATTCCAGCATCCTTTCAGCAGGCAACTGGAACACCTGGGAGAGAGTCAACTGTTCAACTTAAAAAGAAAAGGCTATGAGACAAGGAGCCAGGTGATCAGGCTTGGCAGGTCCCACGCCCCTACACACACACACACAAATTGGAAATGCTCGGGGTTGAGAGTTTCACGGCAAGCACAGCAGAACCGAGGATGGCCTGCCATTAACGAGGAACTCCACCCCTATGGAAGTAGTGAGCCATTGTTGAGGCAGCCTGCCGTTGCTGAGGCAACCCTCCATAACAGAGAAAATCTGCCATTACAGAAGTGGACCACCATTACCGAGGCAGTTCTAACCACACTCATTTAAACAGGACTGCCAGGAAGGGCAGCAGGGCAGAGCCCATAGCAGCTCAGCAAAGCTTCTGCAGGCAGACAGTGACTAGGCTGCGTCCTTGCTGGGCAGGGCAACCCTGAAAAAAAAAGGCAGCAGCACAACGGATACTGATAAATAAAGCCATAACTCCCTGGGAGAGAGCACCTGGGGGGAAAGAAAGGGGGGTTATGAGTTCTGCTGCAGCAGACATAGAAGTACCTGCCTAGCAGCTCTGAATGAACAATGGAGCTCACAGCTCATCACTTGAGCTCCTATAAAGAACACACTGTCTCCTCAAGCAGCTCCCTGACCCCCGAATATCCAAAGAGTCACCTCACAAAGGACAGATCAGACTGACATTTGGTGGGCATCATTCTGGGACAAAGATAGGAGAAGAAGAAACTGGTAGCAACCCTTACTGTTCTGCAGCTGCTGCAGGTGATCCCCAGACAAGCAGGGACTGGAGTAGACCTCAGTAGTCCTATAACAGAGGGGCCAGACTGTTAGAAGGAAAACTGGGAAACAGAAATAACTTCATCGTCAACAATCTGGACGTCCACTCAGAGACCCAATCTGAAAATTAGCAACTACACAGATGACAGGTGAATAAACCCACAAAGATGGGAAGAAACCAGAGCAAAAAGGAGGAAAACACCCGAAACCAGAACACCTCTCCCCCTACAAGGGATCACAATTCACCAGCAAGGGAACAAAGCTGGATGGAGAATGAGTGTGATGAAATGACAGAATCAGACTTCAGAAGGTGGGTAATGAGAAATTTCTGTGAGCTAAAAGATCATGTTCTAACTCAATGCAAAGAAACTAAAAACCTTGAAAAAAGATTTGACATAATGATAACAAGAATGCACAACTTTGAGAGGAATATGTGTGAATTGATGGAGGTGAAAAACACAACACAAGAACATTGTAAAGCATGCACAAACTTCAACAGCCAAATTGACCAAGCAAAAGAAAGAACATCAGAGGTCAAAGGTCAACTCAATGAAATAAAATCAGAAGGCTAGATTAGAGAAAGAAGCACAAAAAAGAATGAACAAAGTCTCCAAGAAATGTGGGACTATGTGAAGAGACCTAATCCACATTTGAAGGTGACGAAGAGAATGAATCCAAGCTGGAAAATACTTTTCAGGATATTACCTAGGAAAACTTCTCCAACCTAGCAACACAGGCCTATATTCAATTCCAGGAAATACAGAGAACACCACAAAGATATTCCTCAAGAAGAGCAACCCCAAAGCACATAATCATCAGATTCACCAGGTTTGAAATTAAGGAGAAAATGCTGAGGGCAGCCAGAGAGAAAGGTCGGGTTACTCACAAAGGGAAGCCCATCAGACTCACAGCAGATCTCTCAGCAGAAACCTTACAAGCCAGAAGAGAGTGGGGGCCAATATTCAACATTGTTAAAGAAAAGAACTTTCAATCCAGAATTTCATATCCAGCCAAACTGAGCTTCATAAGTGAAAGAAAAACAAAATCCATTGCAAACAAGCAAGTACTCAGAGATTTTGCCACCACCAGGCCTGCTTTACAAGAGCTCCTGAAAGACGCACTTCACATATAAAGGAATAACCAGTACCAGCCATTCCAAAACATACCAAATGGTAAAGAGCATCAACAAAATGAAGAATCTGCATCAACTAATGGGCAAAACAGCCAGCTAGCATCAAAATGGCAGTATCAAATTCACACATAACAATATCAACCCTAAATGTAAATAGGCTAAATGCACCATCAAAAGACACAGACTGGCAAATTGGATAAAAATTCAAAATCCATTGGTGTGCTATATCCAGGAAACCCATCTCACATGCAAGAATACACAAAGGTTCAAAATATAGGGATGGAGAAAGATATACCAAGCAAATGAAGAGCAAAAAAAAAAAAAAAAAAAAAAGCAGGAGTTGCAATTCTCGTCTCTGGTAAAATAGACTTTAAAGCAACAAAGAACAAAAGAGACAAAGAAGGACATTACATAATGGTAAAAGGATCGGTACAACAAGAAGAGCTAAAGATTCTAAATATATATGGACCCAATACAGGAGCACCCAGATACATAAAGCAAGTTCTTAATGACTTACAAAGAGACTTAGACTCCCACACAATAATAGTGGGAGACTTTAACATTCCATTGTCAAAAACAACCAGACAGAAAATGAACAAGGATATCCAGGGTTTGAACTCAGACCTGCAACAAGCAAACCTGGTAGACATTTACAGAACTCTCCATTCCAAATCCACAGAATATACATTCTTCTCAGCACCACATCACACCTACTA